CGGATTTGGGGTGCCCCGACACATGTCTTACAACAGAAGCCAAATAAGATGGACTCTCGTACAGAAGTGTGCATGTTTATAGGCTATCCTAAAGGAACCAGAGGCTGGTTATTTTATAGTCCGAAAGAAAAGAAGGTTTTAGTGAGTACACATGCGACTTTCTTAGAGGAGGACTATATGGAAAATCACAAGCCGAGGAGTACGGTTATACTTCATGAGCTAGACTCGGATCAAGTTTCGCCTCAACCTCAAGGGGTTCCAGCTTTTATTCCTGTATTTGTTCAAAGAGGGGAAAATATGCCTGTAGTTGAACATACGCAGGAACTAGAGACAGAACCAGAAGTTCGGCATGATAATCAACAAGTGGAGTTACCACTTGTAGAAGAACAAAATCATGAAATGGTTTATCCAGAAATAAATGAGGGTCCTCCTCAAATTGTTAACCCACCAGACTTGAATCATCCTGTAGATGCTCAGCAACAAGTGCAGCACAGTCGTAGTGGGAGATTGATTCGTAAACCAGCAAGATATCTCTTGTTGGGTGAATCGAGTCAGGATGTCATCATTGAGAATGATGATGATCCCACTAGTTATGACAAGGCACTAGAAGATGTTGATGCTCAGGAATGGCTTGAGGCTATGAGTCGTGAAATGGATTCTATGTATTCTAACTCAGTTTGGTCTCTTGTAGATGCACCAAAAGGGGTAAGACCCATTGGGTGTAAGTGGATTTACAAGAGAAAGAGAGGATCAGACGGAAAGGTTGAAACCTTCAAAGCTAGATTGGTGGCGAAAGGGTACACCCAAATAGAAGGTGTGGATTATGAAGAAACCTTTTCGCCGGTTGCCATGCTCAAGTCTATCCGGATTCTCTTATCTGTTGCAGCAAATCTTGATTATGAGATTTGGCAAATGGATGTCAAAACTGCTTTTCTAAATGGAAATTTAGAAGAGGAAATCTATATGCAGCAACCAAAAGGGTTTATAGCCAAAGGGCAAGAAGAAATGGTATGCAAGTTGCAAAGGTCCATTTATGGACTTAAGCAAGCATCCAGATCATGGAACATCAGGTTTGATCAAGCCATTAAGTCTTATGGTTTTGAGAAAAGTCCTGATGAACCATGTGTGTATAAAAGGATTCAAGGTAATGCAGTATCTTTTATGGTACTTTATGTGGATGATATACTCCTTATCGGAAATGATACAGAGGTATTGTTAGGCATAAAGACCTGGCTGAGCAAGCATTTTGATATGAAAGATCTGGGGGAAGCCAATTATATTCTTGGTATTAAACTCTTGCGAGACCGGAAGAATAGGGTTTTGGCATTATCCCAGGTTAATTACATCGACAAAATACTTGCCAGGTTCAGCATGGAGAATTCCAAGAAGGGAATTTTACCTTTCAGGCATGGTATTCATCTCTCTAAGGAGCAATCTCCTAAAACTCCTGAGCAGAGAGAACGCATGGGTAGAATACCTTATGCTTCGGCAGTAGGTAGTCTCATGTATGCTATGCTTTGCACCAGACCAGATATCTGCTATGCAGTGGGAGTAGTAAGCCGGTACCAATCCAATCCTGGAGAGGAACACTGGGTAGCGGTTAAACATATACTCAAGTACCTACGGAGAACGAGAGATTATATGTTGGTCTATTCTAGTGGGAGTCTTGAAACCGTTGGTTATACGGACTCAGATTTCCAAGGAGATATTGACTCAAGAAAGTCCACCTCGGGATATGTGTTCACTCTTAATGGCGGTGCCATTTGTTGGAGGAGTGTCAAACAATCATGTGTGGCTGACTCTACCACAGAGGCTGAGTATGTAGCTGCTTCTGAGGCTGCAAAGGAAGCCGCATGGTTAAAGAAGTTCCTAACGGACCTTCAGGTGATACCAGGTGTTAGTCGTCCCATCACACTTTACTGTGACAACAGTGGGGCAGTAGCACAGTGCAAGGAACCAAGGTGTCACAAAAGGCAAAAGCACATAGAGAGGAAGTACCACTTGATCCGAGATATCATTGAGAGAGGAGACACAATGGTTGCCAAGATAGCATCGGATGATAACCTTGCTGACCCTTTTACTAAGAGTTTGCCTGAACGTGTGTTCGAGAGGCATGTTACATCTATGGGTCTTGGGAGGATTCCAGATTTGCTATAGCTTTAGGAGTTAATTTTTCACTTCGTTATTTTGTGCTTTTTTGAGCAAGACATTATGGCTTTGTTATTTTTCTAAATGTTATAAATGAGGTATTTTTCATTTGTATGGCACACTATTTACAAACTCTAAGGTCCGGATCAATTGTGGAGTATATGACCATATGGATACGTTCATGGAGGACATGGTCATAAGTTCTCACAATTGATGAATAGGTTCACAGCTATTAAATTAAGTTGGGCACTTTATTTAAGCTGCAATGTTTTATGAGATGATTTTGTCTGAATCATTATAAAATATTGGTGTGAGTTAATACTTACATTGAAGGGATCAAGGAGAGATTTGATTAAGGTTGTTCTTTCTGTCATAAGGAATCAAATTTCCAGATAACTATAGTTATGTAATTGCCCTTAATCCTGTGTTTATTTTAAATAAATAATTAAATAGTCTTCATTCTTTGATTTACCAACGGGTGAGGTCCGATCTTTTGACGGCCAATAACTCGGTGTTTTGGGAGTGAGATTGTTTGATTATCAGTATTTATGAGATAAACAACAAGGAATTTATAGGAAATGTCCCCTTGATATATTTCGGTACTTGGATATTAAAGACACTGGCCAGTGCATGTAATCCATTAGAGAAATTATCAAAGTCAAGGGAATAAATAATTGATTGGGTTACAGAAAACTAATCAATGAATTATAGACATTCTATAAAGGGGCAATGCATATTAATGTTATAAATGTCATTATTCTTGGAGTTCACGTTCGGGTTTTTAGTGGAGTAGCACTGAATTAGATAATCTTGTAAAGATTATCAGGAGCCTTGATCAATGACAAATGGTAGGTCCCCAGGCTAGCTCGAGACAAGGGATGAGGTATATTATCAGATGATGATAGCTTATGAGCTACATGGTCTTGGGTTTACGAACTCAAGTTTGTATATTAAAGAGCAAGTGGGAGATTGTTGGATATATGCTCTTTTGGTCACTAAAGTCCTATTGGGCTTCAGTGACACTTGAGCCCATGAGGCTTAGGGTTGAGTTATGTCTAAGACCTAAGGTATATATTCATAGTTTTCTCCTCTTGTGCCTCCAAGGTGAACAGATCATCAGAAACAAACCCAAGAGGCAGACGTTCATCATCTGAACGGTTGCCCACACAACCATCTCATCCTCCTCGAGAGATAGTCTGGAAGATCGATCATAGAGGGAACAACTATTGTTCGTGGTCACACAACTACGCCCTTCCTGGTAATCAAAACGATGAAGGTTAATCTTTTCCCTCGTCGTGTCGGTTCGATGCGCTTCCGCGTTTCTGATGATATACCTACAATAGTATAGTACGATATGTATCGTGTATTATACAATATAAAAATTAAAGCAATTTTTTTTTTAATATAAAAAAATAAAGATTTAATTTATGTTTTAAATTAAAAAAAATTATTATTATTAATAAGGAAAAGAAAATAAAGATTTGATTTATGATTTAAACACAAAAGTCAATATGAAAAATCTATATTAATAAAGGAATAATTAAATAAATATTTAATATATATTTTTAAATTATTTTTATTATATTTCTGTATCTCACTGTACGATTTACGATTCACAATACATGATACAAAAAATTGGCTAAACGGTACATGATACGTATTGCGATTCAACAACCTTGATTAAAATGGTATGATTTAAGGGAAAATATTTGTCATTTTAAATATTACATGATTGGTGATTTCTTACATTCTTTCTCCTCCACTTTCTCTCTCTTCATGATTTTAATTTTATGTAGGAGAGAGAATGTAAAAAATCATTAAATATACACCAACACAACAGTTATCATTTATTGCGAATTAATAATTAGTTAATGAGTTTGATTTGTGAAAATAATAATCGTCGATCGGCGAAAATCAACGGGTAAGACTTGGTATTAACATTATTGAGAAAAGTATTTCTCCGGTCAATGGAAATATCGTTATCTACAGTGAGCTAAAAACGACGTCGTCTTGAGGTTATAAGATTAAAAAAGTATAACGATAAAGACTACTATAACCCTGTAATATATTAAAATTACAAAAATACCTTGATTTTCGTCTCAAAACGATATCGTTTTGGACTTACCAAATATAACTTATCTCCATTGACTGAAAAAATTCTTTATCCAACATTATTTGATAGAAACAATATCTTATTCCATTTAATATTTGTTTTTATTTTTATCATTCGAGCCCACAATAATAAAATTAGAAAGTCATATCAATAGGAAAATAAAAAAAAATGAATTGAGTGAATATAATTTTAAATACGACAACAAAAGTTTCAAGAAAAATTAGTAAAAATAATAATAATAATATACATCTCACATAAGTTTAATAATATTTATCAGTTCAACATTTTCAAACAATTAGGCATCATCAAATTTTATGAATGACATTATTGGGTTCTCGATTCCAATACGATTTTAGAGTCAGATCAACACATTTTATGGTAAGAATGACTTTCACAATTGATAAAGAGAACTTAAATACAAATGTTGCAAACTAGAAAGCTTCAAAATATACTTGTTAAAAAAAATGATTTAATGGAGGAAAATATACAGGTTTAGGCAATAGTAACTCTCTGGACATTTAGGCAGTTAGGATGGGCCAGAAAATGAAGTTTAGGGCCCAAAGTCCAGCTAGGTTAGGGTTTATCTGCTGCTTCACTATATATATCTGTCATACACACTCCATCCACATAGAATTCATTCCACCTCTCTATGTATCTCTTGCTTGTGAATCTCCGTCTTCGTTTCTTTCTTGTATCTATTTCATGGAGTAGAGAAGAAAATACAAGTAATAATTTTTAGAGAGCAGGGATTGTGTGTATCGGTTTTGTGCTGCGATCAATGCACTCTTCCGAAAGAGTTCCCTGCAACATTGTTTTGAGAAAATGGGCAGTTGTGTTTCATCTCTTGTTGAAAATCACAACAATCATTTTCCCTACATCTTTTTCTTTCAATTCACTCCTCTCTTTTTTTTTAAAATAATTAATTAATTAATATATCACAATATCTTATCTTGTTGATTTTTTTTATTTCAAATAAGTCTATAAAAATAGTCTGTAGTATTGATGTATTGTAGATATTAAAAAAAACAAAAAAGTCTGTACAAGCAAAATTGAAATTGTTGTTTGCAATTTTTATTTGCTTTAATTTTTGACTTCTATTAATTGTTTTGAAGATTTTGTTTATTTATTATGGACTGTGATGTCTTTACGCTTTCATATAATAAAATTGCATCTAGCTTAGTAGAGTTGCCCAATTAATGAATGGGTTGGTTGCATCTACAATTGAATCAAATTTGTGTTGTTGGTTGGTTGTATCAACTTGAGCATATATAGATTGTAGACCAAGTTCTGAATCTTGGGCAAGTAGCAACTGGGGAAATCGTATTTAGAAATTCGGCTTCTAAATTTCAGGCATGATTATGAACAAAGATTTCGATCTAAAATTCAGGACTTATATCCCATCATCTTGTGGTAGAATCAAGTAATATGCCTAAGAAAAATTAAACATAACATCTTAAAGCAGGTTCAGAGCCAAAGGAAAAAATAAAAAGGCCACCCGGGGTGCACACTAACAAAGTAGGCCAAAGATGTCTTCGAATCTAGGACTCTCAAATCACCATATTATCAGGGTAGGATAATACAACAATAGACAAATAATAAAATTTGGGTTTAGTGTGTTGTTCTGATATTTATTTAAATGGGTCACTATAAATGAAGAGGTACTTTTAAGGCCCAACCCGTCTCTGAAAGAGAATTAGAAGAACGACAGTCGTAAATAAAAAAATGAAAAATAATTTGTTTGGCCCATGCAGGTCTCGAACCTGCGACCTTCGCGTTATTAGCACGACGCTCTAACCAACTGAGCTAATAGGCCATTGTTATATCTAAACAATACATAAATTTATGCTGCCATGAACCAAAACGGCACATTCAAAATGTAAGTATTTGAGGGGGTGCAATATATTGGATTCAGGAATCTGCCCCAAATCCTAATTAGCCGCAAACAAAAATTTCTCACCGCACAAAATATGTTTTTTTTTTTAAGGAGTGAAAAATTTTAACTGTGACTAAACCTCGACTTGAAATTTGTCCAATAGTTATTCCAAAGAATTAAAACTTATAAAAATACTTGGGACCGACTCAAAAAAGTAATTAAAATCAATATACCAATCGTGTCTGGATTTATTGCTTCCAAATCTAGGTGTAAATTGTTAAATTCCAAAATTTCATACTTTTTTATTTAAATTATAATATTTAATTTTTTTTCCCATAAAACAGGAATCTTTTAGGCATACAAGGCATAGGATAAAATTGCAGAACCTACACTTACTTTTAAGTAGGCACTATTTTATTTTTTGCCAACGGTGATTTAGCCCCTAAACAGGCACTATTTTATGATACCAACTAAGAGAATTTTTCAAATATTATTCACTATATATATCCACACTTTTATTACAAAGGGGTTGCGTCACGTTTTGATCATGTGGTAAACCGACCTTAATATGTTTTATTTTTTAGTTTTCAAATATATAGAAATGAAGTATTAAAAAATGCTAATAACAAGTTTTAATGCACTCTTCTTAAATTATTACATTTACTTACTAAATAAATAATAGTGCCTATGAAATCCAGTGGTTTGAAATCTTATAAAGTCATGATTTGTTTTATCGATTTTAATGAGGTCATTCTCAATGGACCTATGCTGCAAAAATGCAGATGTGGGGTTGAACTTGCACATTTATCTCAGGTTTTTTTATGGCATCCAAAAATGCTACCCTGCATGCGTTTGCATGTGGGGGGTATGTTATTTTTCAGATACAATATCCAATGAGTTGCATTTATGAATTTTTTTTTTGTTAATTCCCCGTAAATAGTTGTGTAAGAGGGCAAGAGCCCTGAGTCAGTAATAATTCATGGAGAAGGATATTGTCACAACCAAGTTGTGTTACTATCAAGTGACTATCAATTAATCTCACCGTTAGATCGATTATGTTGATCCAACGGTTATATTTATTTCTATCTTTGTATGGTCATGATTCCCCATATTTAAAGTGAAAGCATTAAATATGGGAAATCATAACCATACAAAGGTGAAAATAAATATAAAATATTAAATTTGGAGAATCATGACCATACAAAGATAGAAATAAATATAACCGTTGGATCAATATAATCGATCTAACGGTAAGATTGATTGGTAGTCACTTAGTAGTAACACAACTTTGTTGTCACAATTCCCCATAATTCATACTTCAAAAGCTAAAGTTTTCTGGAAGGGAATTCAGGCGGCGTTTGATAGGTGTATTTTTTTTGAAATCCTGGAAAAACTCATTTGGGATTCTACTATACCTATGTTTGGTAGAGATAAATGCAAAAATTTGTCCATAATTCCAGTTTGCCAAGCTTTTTGATTGTAGTGTAAAATAAAGGTCAAAATACCATGAATAAATACCACAAAGTAGGTGATATTTTCGAAATCCGATTTCTCAAAAATTTTAACATTTTTTTTCGAACCTTTGTACCCTTTGTTGCATCGTGCCCTATGTGTTGCTGAGTACTGTGAAAGCCGCTGAACCAATGTGTTGCTCTTCTTGAGGGAGTAGGTCGTCATTTTTTGTGGGAATATTCAAAGATGCTGATATGGGAACGCTGATATGGAAAATTAATAGCCATTGAACCAAGGTATATTCAAAGTATTGTGAAAGCCACTGATACGGGAACGCACAATAAAGTATGAGGTCGAGTACAAAATTCTGGATCTGGAAATATTCAAAGATGAATATGGATACAACGCGCTGGAAGAAAAAAACCCACAAAAATACTCTTTTTTGCACTCTCTCATTTTTGTTTGTAGTCGTGTCTACATAGTTAATTTACGAGGTTATTTTCGTAAAATGCTTCCATATTCCCAATAACATTTTATCATCAACAAAACAACTTTATTGGAAAATTAATCAAAATTTTCAATAATATTTTCGCCTACCAAATAACTTTTTTGTAATATTTCCAAGAAACTAATATACTTACTATATTCCTAGTAATCATAATTTCCGAATAAAAAAAAATTCTCCTCTATCAAACACCCCCTCAATATTTTCATATCAGTTTTTTTTATATATATAATAATCTTTTGTGGTTGTTCTTAAGCATCCCTCCCATTTTCAGGAGTGAGGAAGGACTCTTCTATGAATTGGACCTTGGATGAACCAAATTCCTTGTGTTACGTGTGCAACTAGGAGGCAAGGATAGTAGCATTGTGATGCAAGAATTAACTGAGGTGTCAATTCCTCCCAATTTGATGGTTGGGACATCAATTGTGAGCTCTGTTTGTCTAACGACTATAATTTGCGCATTCTATTAACAACTTTTATTTGTTCATTTTTCTTAGTGTTAATTTCTTTCATACAAGTTATATACGAAATATAACCAATCTAGAATTTCAGGTACTAAACTTTATTTCATATTGATTATCTTCTTTATTGCTGTGGAGACTAACGGTAAGTTCTCTGTTAGGAGCGCCTATGAATTTTTGAGAATGGGTAACAAAAAGTGGCTTCTCGTCTAGAATTGAAAAGTGCCTGAGCGCATTGGCTGCTTTGTGATGCAAGTTGCGTACAGTAGACTTCATACCAATAAGGTTGCACATAAGTGGAGTTCCACTATGCTCTTTTTTTGAGCTTCACTTTTAGGACATATTGCATGTCATTAGGGACTATACTATCTGTTGTTTAACCGAGATTCTGTCTGAGTTCGTTGCTTGGGACTCTGTTCCACAACCCCCCCACCCCACACCACCAAAAAAAATAAATTGGAAATAAGATGATATTTTTGTAATTTGTAGTAAAAATATATTAACTAAAAACAGAAACAAAAGACAAAATAAAATTCCTCCAGGTGTTCAAAAATTAATATAGACCAATATTATTATGAATTTTACTAGAGTGCAATGTCATGACATTCCATAGGACAAAAAAGAATCTGTTAAACCAACTTAACCTCTCATCAGTGCCTTTTTCTTGAGGTACATTACATGCCCCATTTTTCAAGTGCCGTTAGGAATTAAACACTTTTGTTGTTTCCTCCTCAAGGCATTTGCAGAGATTGTGGGGTTGTTTTGCCTAAAGTGGTCCACTATTGTTGAAAACTACCACCTCCTATTCTCATTAATTTGTCTCTTCCTCTCTCTCTTTTTTTTTTTTTTCATCTTTTGTTTATCGGAGATTTTGATTAAAATCTCATTATTTCAATAAAGGTTATGCTTTTTCATTTCTTGCAACTAGAGAGCTTATGACAGTTACGTTTCTTAAAGAAGATAGTGGCATGGACACAAGTAGTGATGATTAATGGCAGTGGTTAGTACGACATAAATTGCATGGGAAACAACAATGAAATGATTTCATTTTGAAAAAATGTAAATAATTCATATCAACTTCTCTTTTTGATTTAATTATAAATAATATTTTTTGTATCGTAGGAGATAATTTTATCTGAAATTTACTTCTTCTTTTTCTTTAAATTATCTTATATCCAGTTCACATACTTTTTTATAGTGTAGCAAATAGATTCAACCTTAGAAACAATAATCCCTTAAATATAATATCTCAATTGAATAGAAGTTACATTCGAATTTAGATAGGATTTAATAATTATGTTATTGAAATTATTGAAGATTTTGAAAACTTCAATATAATAGTTCATTATTGCTGTGAGAAATAGAGTTTCATAACTTGAAACAAGCTAAATTTAAATAATTAGTAATCCAAAATCCATATTTACAATTAGTAATCCAAAATCCATATTTATAATTAGTAATCCAAAATCCATATTTATAATTAGTAATCCAAAATCCATATTGATTATATATATATATATATAAAAGATTATAATGTAAAAATGAAGGAAAATGTTTATTTAAAAAAAAAATACGAATTAGAAGTGGCA